GGGGGGGGGAATACACTGAGGTGCGGCAGGGGACCGTACACTGCTGTGATCAAACATATGGCCTGTTACTGGCTACAGTCGTTCCTGATCAGAGGATTAAATGCAACAGTGGAGAACAATTCCATATAAGCATCGGAATTCAAAATAAGGCCATTATAAAAAAAATGCGGAGAGAAGCAACACAGCACTCTAGGTGGAGGAAGATACATGTGAAAATCGTATGGGTTACTCGAAGAATGTTCTGTGTTCGAGATAATTGTCATTATCATGGATGTTGCACTTTTGATCCTGACACTGTATTTAGAGCCAAATCTCTTAAAATAACTACTGAAATCTACAAGAGTAGCAAAATATGCAACAGAAAACATATTTTGGATTTAAAGAACAAAACCAATACCAATTTATGCAAAGTTGTTTTTCAAAAATATTCAGGGAGTATTGTTGATAAACGAAGTTATTTCATGAAAATAAAATCATAACAGATGCCGTCTAGCAATTGGTGGATACTAAACCTGAAAAATAAACCAAGGACTAATTGAAATAGGTAGGAAAAGTCCTAAAAAGGAATCGAACAGGTTCAATTTGGACCATTAAACCCTTTTAATACCCATAGATAGTACCGTCCTCGTTCAAAATAAGCTCCATTGGTACTAGACTCACAACAGAAGGCGCTGTAATAGTTTGAAACACGACAATAGAAGCATTATGGATTCTGTTTAACAAGTAGATGCCAGTCAATAATCAACAAGCACCCCTCACTACCTACGCCTCTATTCTCTTTAATATACTTCTTTCATTAATTGAACTCAGCCCAAATCGATTATTCAGAAATATTTTTATTTCATAAATGTACACACTCTCGGTACAAATTTAGAGGAGTTTGTGGTTTATAATACTCAAAAAATTTGAACTACTTCTATCCCATTTTTTTCTCCATTCAGAAACCTAAGAGTAATGATCAGTCGCCATCATATTGGATTTGTAAAGCACCAAAGAGTGGCGAGTGAACAACTCAACAAATAGATATCTCAACAGACCAAGTGGGAAAAGGACGTTCGAAATAGTGCTTACCGAATTTTCACCCAACGACTCCTGTTTTGAAGACTCTTCAATATCCATTGGTTCAGTCATTGTCCTAGTAAGTTACAAATTCTGCGGAAATAATAGAGCATGCTCATACGCTACTTAAGTATATCATTAGTAAAAACAAGAAGAACATCAGGATTCATGGAAAACTCTACACTTTATTATCTACCTTTTTTGGGAACAAAATAGTAATGTAATGTGAAATACACAATCACAGTCATAATTTGAAGGGAGAAGGGAACCCAGGGAAGAAAGACTACTGATAGGAGTAGTAGAAGTAATGGCAAAAGACGGAATTCATTAAAATTTGAAATTGCGCGTGAAATCATAATCGATTGTGGGTATAACTGATTGAACAAACTTGAGGAAGACTACAAGGTATTGGTGAACTCCTAGTTGGCGCTTTTGCTGGCTCTCGGTGTTAGATGCACCTACTGGTGTCTCATTTTGAGCTCCGATGGAAGATACTACAGTACCTGGACGGGTGGTCTCGGAAGAATTGTTTTCGCTGGAACCTGCAATTTTGTCCATAAGTCGTTTCATCAATTCGGCCTGACGGCAGGGGTGGATGGAAGGCATGCTAACACCGGTGAAGTGGGGATGCATCTCCATAGTTATCGTCTTATTTGCGTGGTCTTGGCTGAATGGGAAGAAAAACACCCCAGTAATAGTTATATAGGAATATATATAAGGTTGATTAGTTTTGAAGGAACTTATTGCAAAAAGCTAAAAAATGACTTTAAGTTTGGAAATAGTTCAGAGGCAAGGACAAACACTTAAAACCATGGCAGAGCCTTTGAGATCTCATTGAAACTCTCGAGGTAATCTCATGAGTACAACCTATAACAGTGATGTACTAGACTCAACTTTATGATAATAACTTAAATGACTTAACAGACTACGACAAGTAGATAAAAGTCACAAAGTAGAAAAAGGGTACAGCATATCAATAGACTGCAAATGGTTGCCTCTGCTCTGACAACTTACTGGTGATTTCTCAGAACGGAATGTCAAATGTCTAGCCAAGAAAGTTAGACCAATTGACGAGCTTGAGAGAGCATTCAGGACACCAACATATCCGCCTTTATCATGGAAATAATAAGATGTTATTGACAAAAAGCTAAAAAAATTGAGAAAATTGTGAATCTGACAAAAGAAAAGTTTTTGGGCAAGGAGCAACATGCTACTGAAGCACAAATAATCTATTGTAAATCTATCCCACTATGCAATACATACAACTACATAAGAAAAGTGAAAACATTTCCATTGATCACAAGAGAAAATCAAGATCCAAGCAAACGCATATTTGATGATATTTTCGCTAAATGCGATGAACTGCACTTTTACTTAGTAAAAAAAAACAGTAAATAGTAACATGAAGATCATTACAGAAGAGAGACTTGCCTAAAATCTTCAAACATTTGGCTTGCAGAGAGGGGCTTGTTGTGTTCGTCGAATCCCGTTAACCAAAACCGAGCAGTTCGGTAGAACTTATCATAGGTGATGTAGAGATCATAAGTCCGAGTCTGCAGAACATCAGATTCAGACGCCTGGGCATCAGTGAACGAAGTTGGTTGAGGAGTAACCCTCTGAACGATAAGATCATCTTCCTGGAAGATTGAATGAAAATATACACTGAATTCAGAAACTACTGGATAGCGATATGCAAGTGAGCAAGTTGTGGACAAAAAACAAATTAAGTGGTAAAGTGTTATCAATGTTAAAATCCGATTTGTTTCCATTGTTATGATACTAACCAACCAACTAAAACTTTATTTCTACTATTTAAGTGAATGTTTATAGGAAATGTAGCAAAAAATGCAAAAAAAAGCCAAAATATTTTGCGAGTATTGGTGCGAAAGCTATTTTAAGAAGTTCATCCCCGAACGCCTACAGTACGAAGTGTTTATATTACAGGAGTCCTATTAAACTAAACTCGATACCACTAACAGAAGTAATGATCCTCTTTAAGGCTGAAAGCAAATTAAAGTCATCGAAAATGATACAAGTTAAAGCAGGGCTTGAATACATTGGGCACAAGAACAAAAAGGGAGTAAGATCAAAGGAGGAATAGGCGAAAAAGGTGGAGAACTTTTAAATAAATGACGTTATGCCATTTGATGAACAGCCAATAAGGTAAGCATCACCTGCTAATTAAGACAGTTCAGGTATGTGAGCAACCACTAATTGTTAGCAGGTTAAGACCTGGCTCAGCTTTGTCTGATGGAATGAAATTTGGGACTATAAATTTAAGGTAAATAAGAAAATATTGTTACAAATGACAAAACTTCAAGTTTCATAGACAGCAACCCAAAAAAATGAAACATTAACATAATAAACAGTTAATATAATGCGCAACATCTGACTTAATAAGCGAGCTAATTAAAAAAGGAAGAAAAAACTAACCTCATCGTCCATATTTTCCTGCATAAAAGCATCGAAATCTTCAGGTTCTTCGTCATCGTTCAAACCATTATCACCACTTTTAGACTCGCTGATATCAATAGCTTCAATTCCTTTTATTACATTCTCACTTTTGAACTGATCGTAATCATTATCGGCTGAATTATCGTCTAAAGAGATCGATTCACCAAAATAAACCAAGTTCCTACCGGTCTCAACAAATCCAGCATCGATCCACCCGCCATCATTGTCTGTCTCCTCTAAAACTCGATTTTCGTCACCTTTCACTTTAAACATTTGACTAAATCTCTTGTGACAGGGAACCCCTTTGGTGCACAAATACTGTTTATTTTCTGGTAGATAAGACTGAATATAGTTTTTTTCGCCACTTGCCCAGTGCCATGTTGGACATTGGTGAACTAAATGATCGCCAGCCGCGACGAATTCTGCAGGAGTTATAACTCCCTCTTCCCTAAATCGGGACTCCTTAAGAACCGGGGTTACTAAATTAGCTATTCCAAGCACAGTTCGATTAATAGATTGACGAAGAGCATCCATTCAAATAAACGCTGGCAAGGATCCAATAAAAGAGTACTAAATGTGGATCAAACAGACCGCCATGCCAAAATAAAGATAACAAATTTTGGAACAGTAAAACAAATTCAGGCATCGAGGAATTTTCTTTCTTTAATAAATAATCTGCGATTTTTTAAAATAATAGTGATAACAGGTTTTG